TCAAGGCTAGCGCTCTACCACTTGAGCCACAGTGCCACTTCTGGCTTTTTTTCTTTTTGCTTATGTGGTGCTGAGGAATCGAACCCAGGGCCTCACGCATGCAAGGCAAGCACTCTACCACTGAGCCACCTTCCCAACCCTCACACTTCATTTTGAATAGAAATTCTAGAAAACATTAAATAAAAATCCTAACACTTCATTTTCAAATGTAGAAAAATGATTACTGTGGAATTGACAGCAATGGTAAATATCAACTCCCTTACAAATGAATTTTATATTTATAAAACTTTAAGGTGAAAACTTAATCTTAAAAAAGAACAAAGAGAAGGAATTAGAAAGTTGGCACATTCTAGCTTCTCAGGAGATGGAGATCAGGAGGACTGTGCTTTGAGGAAAGCCCAGGCAAAAAGATAGTGAAACCCTCATTTCCACAAATAATGTGGGTATGGAAGCACACACCTGTGATACCAGGTATGGGAAGGCACCAAGCAAAAAATGCAAGAAAAGTAAGTAAAGGAAAAACGTGGATGGGCTCAAGTGGTAGAGTACCTGCCTAGCACAGGTACAAGACCTTAAGTTCAAAACCCCACAACCCTGGACCCCCAACACATACAACCCTGATAAACATTTAATGATTAAGGAAAGAACCAAGATGTTAAATGTGATGGCCTAAGCCTTACCCAGAGAGAATCACAGAAACTGTGGTCAGGAAGGAGAACTGTTGCATATTCTCTTTTTGTGCACACCGCCACAACTAACATACCTGAATGGGTAATAAAAGCTTCAAAACCCATGCCACTTCCTGTAAAAAAGCTAAGAAAAATATCTATTATCAAAACTTTTGAAGACAGTTAATCATTTTCATTATCATTTAAGCACATAAGACTATAATGACCAGGTGCTGGAGAGTCACACCTATAATCATAGCTACTGAAGAGGCTATTATTTGAGGATTACAGTTCAAAGCTAACTCAGGCAGAAAAGACTGTGATATTGTTATCTTCAACCAATCAGCAAAAAGCCAGAAGTGAAGCTGTGACTCAAGCAGTGGAGTGATAGCCTTGAGCAAAAAAGCTAGGGGACAGTGCTTAGGCATGGTGTTGCGAACCTACAGTAAACATTATGCCAGAGGCTTAATTTGAAGGATGGGATCCATAGACCATTCTAAGGCAAAAATACAAAATTCTATCTGAAAAATAATCTAAAGCAGAAAAGATTGGACATGTAGTTCAAGTGGCAGAGCACTTCCCTAGCAAGCACAAGGACCTGAGTTAAAATCCTTGTAACACACACACACATAGAGGACACACACAAATCACAATCTATATTAAAAGAAAAATTATTAGTTACTTAAGTCTGAATCTACATGTATATAAGTTTTTTGGTCATTTAAAAAAAAAACTATATAGTAGCCAGGTGCTGGTGGCTCATGCCTGGAAATCCTAGCTACTAAGGAGGCTGAGATCCGAAAACTGTAGTTCAAAGCCAGCCTGGGCAGGAAAGTTTGAGATTCCTATCTCCAATTAACAACAAAAAGCTGAAAGTGGAGCTGTGGCTCAAGTGGTAGAGTGCTAGCCTTGAGCAGAGAAGGTTAGGGACAGCACCCAGATCCTGAGTTCAAGTCCCACAACTGACAAAAAAAAAAGCATCTTTAGTAGCATCTTTAGTGTTAACAGAGGGACTATCATTGAAGATTATTATTTCTTTCTTTCCTATTTTTACAGTAGTTTTTTTTTCCTTTTGCCAATCCTGGGACTTGAACTGGGGACCAAGCACTGTCCCTGAGCTTTTGTGTTCAAGGCAAGCATTCCACCATTTGAGCCACAGTTCTATTTTTGGCTTTTTGGTGGTTCATGGTTAATCAGAGTTAAGAGTCTCATAAACTTTCCTGTCTGGGCTAGCTTTGAACTGCAATCCTCAGATCTCAGCCTCCTAGTTAGGTAGGATTAGAAGTGTGAGCCAACAGTGCCAGGCTTCATTTTCACTACTTTTAAGAAGGAACCTTATTTCTAAACTAGCCAGAGAATTTAACAGAAAAATATCTGATATATAACTAATATAAAAGCAGTTTTAGCAACTTACAAAGTATATGATCAATTTAAAAAGCCTTGAGAAAAACTATCACAAATTTAAAAATTAGATAGAGATATTTTCCTTTTTAGGAATGATAGCAAATAGTGTTTTAACAATTTAGGATAGTATCCCACAGTTTGAACCATTACCTGTATAACTGCTTTCTTTTTCCTCCTTTGTTAGCAATGCCAAGAGTCAACTGATCCTGATCTAAACAAAACCAAGCACTGAAAGAAAATGCAGACCCTGGCCATTTCTGTATGGGAGGAACAGAAATTCCTGCCATACTATGTGATAAATTAAAATACTGAAGGGCACTTTCTAGACTTTGTTTTCGGGCCATTGTCAGGATTGCTCGAGTCACAGGAATGGTGTATGAGTGTATACATGCAGATTCATCCACTCTCAGCAATCTTAGGAGTCGACGGACTTCTTCTAAGCTCACTGACTGACTCCCCAGGGAACCATGGATTGCAATCAAGTTCTCAGCACACAGTCGATGGAGGGAAGAATGGGATTCAAGGGTTTCAATTATTCTAATTCCCATGTTTGCATTGACACAAGTAGTTCGACTTTGCCTATTAATACAACAAATTCTTTTCAGCCAATCAGAAATGAAGATTTGCAGGTCATAGGATTCTAGCTCTGGAAGCCACTGGATAAGAAGCAAGAGAGGATGGACATTACTAATGCCCAAAATCCCAACTGATGTGTGATCACCCTCTACAGCCTGAAAAGCAACATAAAAGATAAAAGATTAGTTACTAGTTTTGAAATGAAAAACTAAAATTTCTTCATTTTAATATAAGTTAAAAACTCACCATATTCATAAGTTCTTTAAGCAGTTCCAGTGATGGCTGACCCAAAGATTTTAGAACTTCAAACATATGTAAATAACCGATTCTTTCTTTGAATACTTCCTAGAGTGGAAAACAATGCATCAAATCATATTTATAAGAACTAAATTTATAATAATATTTAAAATATTGAATACATATTTAGCTACTTAAGCAAAATAATGAGTCAAGTCTTGTTTTCTTAAATCACATATTCATTTACTATTTAAGATAGATTCTTTCTATGTAGGTTCAGGTTATCCTGGACCTTAAAATGTTCCTGCCTCAGCTTCCTGACTAGCTATGATTACAGGCATGTACAACTGAATTTGGCCTGTTTCATCTTAAAACAGATTCTATATATCTTTTAATAATGGTTATAACAATCTACAAAAATGAAAAACAAGCCAGATGCCCATGGCTAGTGTTTGTAATCCTAACTACTCAGGATGCTGAAATTTGAGGATTTCGGTTCAAAGCTAGCCCATGCAAGAAAGTCTGTGAAACTCTTATCTTCAATTAACCACCCCAAAGCTGGAAATGGTGCTGTGCCTCAAAGTGGTAAAGCACAAGCCTTGAGCACAAAAAACTCAGGGGTAGGGCCTAATCCCTGAATTCAAGCCCCGGGACTGGCACCAAAAGAAATAGAAAAACAAAAACAAAGAAATGAAATTATTAATTCTGTTGAAATACTTTATTATTTACAGATAAATGTATATGGTACTTCTTTTACTTTCTTAACTTGATTGGTAATAAATATTAAGTAAAGTTAAAACAAAAGTTGGAAAAGAATGACATTTTGGAGGTAAGAGGAGTGAGATAGGTCCATCTAGTAGAATGAGGGTTTCATGCTTACAGTGCTAGCATTGCGGTGGTAAAGGTAGAAGGAACAATACTTTGAAGCTAGCTGGGGCTCCTATAGTAATACCAAAAAAAAAAAAAAAGTGAAGATGTAGTTCAATCCCAGAGTTTGCCTAGCACATGTAAGGCCCTAGTTAGTTTCTGAGCACCATTAAAAAAAAAAAAAACATTGGCAATTTTAAGTAGTAACCAAAAAACAAATTGAGTGTGAATAGTTTTCTCTCTACTCTTCATATCTAAATTACCTGGAGCATTAAGCTCATTTTAGGAAGTTCTAAGTCACATATAATATTGAATAAGTTATATTCCCAAAGCCATAACAAAAATGTAAACAAATTTATATATAATTATGATTGTTATATTGGTGTTTGGTTTCAGTTGTCTATACATTCTAGATATTAATCTTTTCTCACATTAACAGCTGGCAAGTATTTCCCATTCTACAGACTTTCTTCATTCTAGTAGTTGTTCCTTTCAAGAACAGAAGCTTTTTAATTTATGAAATAATATTGTCAATTCCTTCTCATATTTCCTGGGCTAGTGGAGTACTATTCAGAAAGTCACTGTCAATGCCTATATCTTCAAGTGTTCTTCCTGGTTTCCTACAGGCTCTCCAAAGCTTTAGGTCTTATTTTAAGGTCTTTCATTCACTTTGAATTAATGTATGTATAGGGTGAAATCTTCTACATAAGCCTATCTTTCTCAGTATCATATGTTAAAGAAGCTATCTTTTCTTTAGCATATATTTTTGTCATGTGAGTCAAAAATCAAATGACCGAAGCCGTGCATTTATTTCTGGTTCTTCTTTTTTACTCCATTTCATTCTTTTACTGGTCAGTTTTTATGCTAAGATGAAGCTGTTTTATTACTATAGCTCTGTAGTATAATTTTTTAAGTCAAGTTATATGATACCGTCAACATTGCTTATTTTATTCAGGATTCTTTTGGCTATGTATAGTATTTCAATAGTTGCATATAAATGATAGGGATTGGTTTTTCTATTTCTATGAAGAATGACTTTGAAATTTTGACTGACATTGTACAGAAGCTGCAGAGCCATAAACATGAACATGAGAGCTTTATTTATTTTTTGGGCCATGGTAGGGCTTGAACTCTGGGCCTGGGCACTGTCCCTGCACTTTTGTGCTTAAGACTAGTGCTCTACCACTTCAAGGCACATCTCTACTTGCTGCTTTCTAGTGGTTCATTGCAGATAAAGAGTCTCTTTGACTTTCATGCCCAGTCTGGCTTTGAACTGTGATCGCCTGAACTCAGCCTCCTGAGTCACCTGGCTCACATGAGAGCTTTAATTATATTGAAGTACAGTCTCTTCATTCCTCTAGTCTTTAGGTCTTGTGAGGTGAAGAGTTTGTTGTTGGGTTTTTTGGGGAGATTCTTTTGGTGGTGGTGGTGGTGGTGATACTGTAGTTTGAACTGGGTTTCATGTTGGCTAGGCAGGCACTCTACCACTAAGCCACACCTCTAGCCCTGATTTTGTTAATGTCTTGCTTCCTGCTCAGGAAAAGTGCATGATCTGAAATCTGCTTTCTTTTAGGCTTCATTTTTTTTGTACTGGGGATCAAACCCAGGATGCTGCACTTGCAAGGCAAGTACTTTTTCACTGACATACATCTCAGGCCCATAGGCTTCATTCCTTGCTGGGATCACAGGCATAAATTACTGCATCTAGATTCCATCTGTAGAGATGCAGTCTCATGAATTTTTCTGTTGGCATGAGACCTTGATGCTCCTGATTTCAGCCTCCCATATAGCTTGGGATGACAGGTATATACCACTGTACTACAAAGAGGTATCAGAATTTTTCTGTCTGAGCTGACCTTAAACCACAAGCCTCTCATTTAAAGCCTGACAAATAATTAGGATTTCAAGGATAAGCCACTGGCACCTGGCTTATAAAGGGATTTTAATTTTTTTCAAAGGCTTTTTCTGCAGCTATTTTTCTTTCCTTTATTGTTTATGTGTTATACTAAATTTATTGATTTGTGTATACTCAATTATCCTCATATCCCTGGGATGAAGTCAATTTAATCATGGTACATGATCTTTTCAATATATTGCTGAATTTAGTTTGTGAGGATTTTGTTTTGTTTTTATTTTATTTTTTTATTGTGAAAATACTGTACAGAGGGGTTACAATTACATGGGCAAGTTTGTAAGGATTTCATTAAGTATTTTTATGCCTATGTTTATCAGGAAAATTTGTCAACAGATTTCTTTAGTATTTTAGTTTGATAGCATTCCTTCCCTCTATAATTTATAAAATAGTTTGAGGAGCACTGATGTTCTTCTTTCAAAGTCTAGAAAAATTCAGCAGTTGGGCTGGGAAGGTGGCTCAGTGGTAGAGTGCTTGCCGTGTATGCACGCGGGCCTTGAGTTCGATTCCTCAGTACCACATACTCAGAAAAAGTTGGAAGTGGCGCTGTGGCTCTAGTGGTAGAGCGCTAGCCTTGAACTGAAGAGCTGAGGATAGTGCCCAGGCCCAGAGTTCAGGCCCTATGACCAAAAAAAAAAAAAAAAAAAAAGAAAAGAAAAAGAAAAATTCAGCAGTGATATATCAGATTCTGGATTTTCTTTCTGTGGAGATTGTGTGTGTGTGCATGTATATTGAGTGTATGCATGCATGTGTGTGCATGTGTGTGTGTGTGCCAGTAGTATGGATTGAATTTAGGGCCTAAGTGGTGTGCCACAGCTTTTCACACAAGAGTAGTAGTAAACACTGAATCACAGTTCCAGTTATGGCTGTTTGCTGGTTAATCAGAAATAAAAGTGTCATGCAAGTTCCTGCCTAGGCTGGCTTTGAATATTATCCTCAAACCACAGCCCCCTGAGTAGCTAGGATTATAGGCATGAGCCATCAGCACCTGGCTAGGAGATTCCTTTTTTTTTTTTTTGTTTTGGTCAGTTGTGGGGCTTAAACTAGGGGCTTGGGTGCTGTCCCTGAGCTCTTCAGCTCAAGGCTAGTGCTCTACCACTTGAGCCACAGCACCACTTCTAGTTTTCTGAGTGGTTTATTGGAGATAAGAGTCTCACGGTCTTTCCGGGCTGGCTTTGAACCGTGATCCTTAGATCTCAGCCTCCTGAGATGGTGGCATGAGCCACCGGGCCGGCTGGAGATTCCTTATTTTTTCTCCTTTTTTTTTGCAGGGGGGGGTGTGTCTGGTCGTGGGGCCTGAACTCTGGGCCTGGGTGCTGTCCCTCAGCTTTTCAGCTCAAGGCTAGTGCTGTACCACTTGAGCCACAGCACCACTTCCAGCTTTTTTCTTTTTGCTTATGTGGTGCTGAGGAATCAAACCCAGGGCCTCATGCATGCAAGACAAGCGCTCTACCACTGAGCCACCTTCCCAGCCCTACTACTAAAATTACACTGATAGTTATAGATAAGTCTAAGTTGTTTATATTCTCTGGGTTTAATATTAGTATTTCATGTGCATCTAGAAATGTTTCAAATTCTAAATATTAAAGTCTATTGAAATATATATCGCATAGCGATGGTGGTACTGCCGGTGGCAGCAGCACTGATGCAACGAGTCTCATTCCATTTCTTTATGATCTTTACTTATGATCATTACATATGTCTACTGCTCATGGGTTTGGTGGGTACTTATTTTACTAAGAGTTTGAGGTGCAAGATTAGGTTATTTACTTCAGCTTTAATTTGTGTGTGTGTGTATGGACCCTGGGCTTAAATTTAGGGCCTGAGCACTGTCCTCAAGATTTTGTGCTCAAGACTAGCATTCTGTCACTTGAGCCACAGCTCCCATTCCAGCTTTTTGGTGTTTAATTGGAGATAAGAGCCTCATGGACTTTCCTGCCTGGGCGGGCTTTGAACTGCGATCTTCTGAACCGTGATCCTCAGATCAGCCTCCTGAGTATTAGGAGAACAGGTGTGAGCCACTGACATCTGTAATCCAGATATAACTTTATTTAGCACCTATATAGCACAAACTTTATTCCAGCACTGCCTATGCTATGTCCAAACAGTCCTGATACATCAGGTTTTGATTTTTGTCTCGGTCTAGTAATTATTTCATTTTTCCATATCTTCATTAACTTTAGCTGATCATTAAAAAGTGAATTGTTCAGATTCCACATGTTTGTATATTTTCTACAGTTTCTCTTAGTGTTGACTTTAATCTATGTGGTCAAATATAGGAAGTAGTGTAAATTTTCTTGTCTCTGGACTTCCTTTGTATCTTAAAATGTGATCTATTTAAGAGAAAGAACCATGGATGGGCTCCTGAGAATATGTATTCTGAGGCTGTTCAGTGGAATATCTGTAGCTCTCTATTATGTCCATTTTATTCATGTTGTTTAATTTGAAGTTCAGTTGGGGGGGGGGTTGAATGGCCTCAATCTACAATTTTTGTATTGGGATTGATCTGTGCTTTCATGTCCAGTATAATTTGTTTTATGAACTTGCATTTACCGACATTCTCTGTGTACATATTTACAGTTATTCTAGATCCCTGATGGATTTTTCCTTTTATCAGTACAAAGAGACCTTTATTTTGGGTTTGGGGTCGACTTTGTCATTTATGAGGAACACTAGTCCTGTTTGCTTTGGGACTCATTTGATTACCATCTTTTCCCATTCTTTTACCTAAGGCTATTTTTCTTTGAATTATGTTTGTTATAGGAAATAAGTGGTTGGATCTTGAACCTTAAATTAAGTTGCTAGTTTATGCCTTATATTTAGAGAAATGAGACCATTGAGAATCAGTTATTATTAAAACTTATTTAGCAATCACTAAATGTAATGTTGATACTTTCTAATCCTCATTTGCTTGTCTAGTTAACTGATAAGGTTTATTCCTTTCAGTATTTTCATCATTCTGGTTATTTTCCTCTTTTTGTATGTACAAATTCCTGTAAGTATTTTCTTAGTGATAATGAAGTATTTAGGCTTTGTTTCTTTGAATGATTTTTATTTTTCCTTCAATTGTGAATGACATATTTACTAGTTACAATTATGAAAGTTGACAGTTTATTTTCTTGCAGGACTTTAAATGCATTATTCCCTGTCCTCCTGGCTTTAAGACTATTGAGAATTCTTATATTATTTTACTGGGTTTGCTTTTATAGGTGACTTGTAATTTTTCTTTCATAACTTTAAATATTCTTTTTTTGTTGTATATACTTAATATTTTAATTATAATAATTAATATGAAGAGGTTCCTTTCTGGTCTTTTCTGGTGTTCTAAAATCTTCCTCTACCTAGATGACAATTTCTTCCCCAAGGTATGGATAATATGATGCTATTAACTTATTGAATATTTTTCTCTATGACTTTAGCTTATATCTCTTCTCTTCTACTACTTCAATGAAGCATAGGTTTGGTCATTTTGTTGTGCCTCCAAAGCCTTGGGTGTTCTGTCTATACTTTTTCTTTTCCTTTACAACTATCTCAATATTCTAATTTGCCTACTTTGTGTTCAAGACCTGATATTCTATCTTCTACCTGATTGACGCTATTCATCAGGCTTTCAAATGAATTTTTACTTGACTTCTTGAATTTTCCACTTTCAGAATATCAATTCGATTTTTTTTAGTGTTTTTAAATCTTTATTGATTCTTCCTTTATATTCTATGTTTCTTCCTTATTTTATTTAGCTATTTATTTGCATTCTCTTTAATTCATTGATGCATTATACCATCTTCAATTTTGATTATTCTTTTTTGGGGAAGGGGGGCAGTCGGTTGTGGGGCCTGAACTATGGGCCTGGGTGTTCTCCCTCAGCTCTTCAGCTCAAGGCTAGAACTCTACCGCTTGAGCCACAGCACCACTTTCGGCTTTTTTTGCTTATGTAGTGCTGAGGAATCAAACACAGGGCCTCATGCATACAAGGCAAGCACTTTACCACTAAGCCACCTTCCCAGCCCCAATAATTTTGATTATTCTTATCATTTCTTTGAGATTTCATTCATTTAGCTATCATTGAGTCCATCATAGTGGATTTGTTGGGGTCATATAACCTTGTTTTACATATTTTGTGTTTCTCTATATTGGGATTTGTGCATCTGAGCCAAGTCATTGGCTGGAGATTTTAATCAACTGTATTCTTTCATCTGAAGTATTCTCTTATACTAAGAAGAGATAGTTTGTGAATTAGTTGACATCAGCTATTAGCCATATGTGTCATATTCTTTCACATCATTTTGGAATTTATTAGTGAAAACTGGTATAATGAAGGCATTTTAAAGCTTGGGGATATTTTACCTTAGCAGCTGGAGATTTGTTCATTACTGCTGTCAGAGCCTGAATGGTTGATACTGCCAAGCAATCCAACTGGCCCTGAAACACCTACCAGATGAAAAAGAAGAAAAAAAGCAAGATATTAACCAATGTGTTAAATATGCTTTTCACTTAGGAAACCTTTGTTCTGAAAACCTGAAAAAAATAATTATTTCACATGCTTTACATTCCTCTTGTATAAAACAGATTTGTAAAACACTATAATCTGTAAGAAAATTTACATATTTAACAAAAGACAACTCATGTCAAGAAGGATAAGGCAACGTTCACTCATTACATTAAATGTTCTAAGTAAGAAAAAGCAAGCTCAACACATGCTTTTATAAACTAATGGACAATCTCAAGAGGAAGGAAGAGGTCTAGAATTACAAATTCCATAATGCTTTATTTTCCCTTCTTTGATATATTTGAAATTTCTAGACTTAAGCTCTACCAGCATGTACAATGAAATAGCTAAAATAATCTTGCTCACATAGATTACAAACTCTGTATTAAAACTGAAATGAGGCCAGGTACTGGAGGCTCACGCCTATAATCCTAGGTACTCAGGAGGCTTGGATCTGAGGATCATGGCTCAAAGCCAGCCCAGGAACATCCATAAGGCTCCAATTAACCACTAGAAAACTGGAAGTGGCACTGTGGCTCAAGTGGTAGAGCCCTCATCTTGAGCTGAAGAGCTCAGGGACAGCGCCCAGGCCCAGAGTTCAAGCTCCACGACTGACAAAAAAAAACAAAAAACTGAAATGCTATGTACATACACCAATTAATAATTAATAGTCATCCTTACATATAGTAAGGTATAGCTACTTTTACACAGGATGCAAATTTTGAGGCAGATAAAGGAAATGAATTATCTATATGTGTTGTAGTATTTTGGAAGAAGGTGTACTTTAATGACATAAATTCAACTGAATAATTAAAATCTGGCTCCATATATCTATTATTGTTGAAGACCATGAACAAAATGTGTTAAGTTTCAGGGCAGTACATATACAGCTAAAATCTACAAACCAACATCAAGAATAGTAAAAATAGAACATGACAATTACATTTAGTAAACTATTAAAGCATAAAGAGGACTAGGAAATTACAAAATATTATAAAACAAACAAACAAAAACAGAGCCTAGTAGTAGAATGCCTGGCCATTGAGTACAAGGTCAAGTTAAAACCCCAGTTCAAAAAAAAGTTAAAAAAAAAGGTTATAAAACAAATAGTCAAAAAATCTGCTTTAGGAAAAACAATATTACCAGGTGAAGCCAGTCATTCCTCCAGTAGGATTTTTTTCTCTGTCTCACAGCAGAACAAATTTGAGTAGAAAGGAAAATAGATACTCTGCTGTTAAAAAACTTTATCATTTCGCCTGTAATCCTAGCTACTCAGGAGGCTGAGATCTGAGGATCGCGGTTCAAAGCCAGCCCGGGCAGGAGAGACCGTGAGACTCCTATCTCCAATAAACCACCAGAAAACCGGAGGTGGCGCTGTAGCTCAAGTGGTAGAGCACTCGCCTTGAGCTGAAGAGCTGAGGGACAGCGCCCAGGCCCAGAGTTCAAGCCCCACAGCCGAAAAAAAAAAAAAACAAACTTTATCATTTATCCAGAATTCTGGTGTTACTTAGTCTAGAATACTAGTGTTTTGTGCTGCTTATTAAATATTATGTATAATAAATATTACATATGTAATAAACATAGTATTTTAAAACATTATGATATAAAATTTCATACAAATAAAATCTGTGTTCAACATTGTCTAAGAAAAAGCCCAAACGACTTATATTGATTATATCTGGCATTTGGAATTGTAATGTGAATTTACATAAGACTTTTGCAAGTATTTTAGTAACTCATGCAAGTAGGCCTTGAAACTAAAAACTTATAGAGAAATCTAAAACATTACTCTGTATATATATTTTACATCTAGAAGAGAAGATAATAAATCATATTACAACCTCTTTTTACAACTATTCTATAAGCCTTAAACCTGGACATTAAAATAATGTTAATAAAAGGCATATAAGTCTCACAAACACTTTGGGAAGAAAAATGGGTAACTTTTGTAGGTATTTTTTTAAAGAAAGAAATTGACCTAGGGCTTGGAAGGTGGCTCAGTGGTAGAGCGCTTGCCTTGCATGCATGAGGCCCTGGGTTCGATTCCTCAGCACCACATAAGCAAAAAGAAAAAAGCCGCAAATTGCTCTGTGGCTCAAGTGGTAGAGCACTAGCCTTGAGCTGAAGAGCTGAGGGACAACACCCAGACCCAGAGTTCAGGCCCCACGACCGGACCCAAAAAAAATAAAAGAAAGAAATTGACCTAATATACTGTGAGAAACATCATAAATGATATATTTTGCCTTATTATATCCATAATTTAATATTCAATAAATTTAGCATTTTCTTCCCTTCCTCCAAGAATCAGGTTGTCCATTGAATTATAATCACTTGTCAATAAGAAGCAGAAAATCAAGGTATTAAAAATGACCATACATATTCACAAAGCCCTAAGATCCCAATACACCACAGTGCTTAGAAAAGACAGCCCCCAAACTATGATGTCATCACCAGGTGATCAGTATTGATTCTGGGGCCCCATTCCTGTACTTTGTATCTTCTCAAATTGAAAAGAACATACATTCAGATAGAGTATTGATTGTTCATTTCACCCATTAAGTTTGTAACCTTTAAATGAAAGCAATTTTATGTTAATTTTAACTGTGAAAAATAATTCATGAATATTAAGATTAGATAATGTTTATATATGTTAAGAAATGAGAAGAAAAGCACAGGAATAGTTATTCCCAATGACTGATTTTGGAGTTCAATTGAAACAAGATGCAGGCTTTGTATACCTGGTCCTCATTCATTTCTGTCAGTAATTTGTTGGCAAGATCTTTCTCGTTCTTGTCTGCCACCTTATTGTTAGCATTTAAAAGTAGCTGTTAAAAACAGAGACAAGAATAATGGAGACATTACATTAAATTGTTACCTATAAGCAGAATAGAGCCTAAGTGGATTCCCATGTCTCTTGAAAGCCAATAATTTTCTTGTGAAATATATCACTTCCAGAGATTGTTGATTATTTGCATCTTGGATAACAAACTACTACGAGTTTATATACTGTATGATTAATAATTATAGACATACTTTTCTTTTACAGTTCACCTAAAGTTAGTAAAACAGCATTGATTAAGATTTAAGATTCTTATAGAAACAGCTGAGAATGCCTCACAGAAAAGAAAAAGATATTATTCAGATAAAGATACTATTGTAAACAATACACTTAAGTAAGTTTGTGAAAAGCTACTAAATTAACTAAAAAGGTTGTTTTTTTTTCCCCCAGAAATACTTCTCAGAGTCTCGAATGGAATAAAGTGTAGCTTGATAAATACTGTATCTCTATGTAGCATTTCTCAGATTTATCTGACTACACATCTTGTGAAAATATTGTCCAATAATATTCTCCAAAACTGCTACGGGTTTAATTCTGTCCTCTTTTAAGTAAAAATAAAAAAAATCAAGAATTTTAGTTTCTGTATGCAAAACTCAACATTCCAATGATTTGGCCTTTGCAACATGTTTTGATAAAGAAAAAGATCATTCAGAGCCTGGCATAGGGTATATGACTGTAATCCCAGCTACTCAGGAAGTAGAGGTAAGAGGATTGAAATCCAAGGCCAGTTTAGGCAAAAGCTTGGTAAGACTTTAACCTAAACATAAGCCAGGTTTGACAGTCACACCTTCATCTTAGCTATCAAGGAAGCAAAAGTAGGAAGATCACATTTGGAAGTCAGCCAGGGTAAAAGTGGTGGGGGCAGTGGAAAACAACTAAAGCAAAAGGATTGGGTGTGTAGCTCAAATGGCAGAGCATTTTGTTAGCAAGTGCAAGACCCTGAATCAATCCTCATTACTGAAATAAAAAGGAAATTCAAATGGGAGTAAAAGGGATAGAAATAAGTTTTTATTTCTAACACATGAAAGGCTTAATGTAACAATTAGAATCAGAGACCTGAGTTTGAATGTGGTTTTGTTGCTCCTTACCTGGCTGATTTAAAAGAAAACTAATTCCTCCAAGCTGGAGAAGAATAATTCTCATTAAATAGCTATGTAGATTATATGACATAATCTGTGCTAGTCTAGTCACATGGGACCTGGCATATACCAGATATGTAATAAATGAACGCTTCTATTATTAGCAAAGATTTAAAGAAACAGAATTTCAGTAAGGGATGATGACTCAGGCTTATAATCCCAGCACTTGGGAGTCTGAGGCAGGAGGATCAGGAGCTTGAGACCAGCCTGCTCTACAATAAGAAAATCCTGTCTCAAAAAATTATTATTATTAATAATAATAATTCCATATTATTGAGATGCAATAGAATAGAGATGCTCGGATGCAGCTGAAGAAAATAACTGAGTAGCCTTTTGATGAGAACGCAACTCAGTGGTAAAGAACTTCTCTAGAATGTGCAAGGCCCTAGGTTTGTTCTCAGTACTGAAAGAAAATAAAGCAGTCTCTCTAATAAACAATCCAGCAATCTAGCCATCTTATTTTATTTGTTTTTTTTTGGGGGGGTGCAGTCATGGGGCCTGAACTCTGGGCCTGGGCGCTGTCCCTCAGCTCTTCAGCTCAAGGCTAGCGCTCTACCACTTGAGCCACAGCGCCACTTCCGGCTTTTTTCTTTTTGCTTATGTGGTGCTGAGGAATCGAACCCAGGGCCTCATGCATGCAAGGCAAGCGCTCTACCACTGAGCCACCTTCCCAGCCCCTAGCCATCTTATTTTAATAGCATCCTAAATTCAATGTGATAGTTTTGAATCTCTTTTCATGACACTATTAAAGAAAGGCTTTTTTCTCTTTTAACTCATATATTTGGACAGTTTTTTAAAATGATTCTGAGTTGATTCAAATCATATCCTGGCAACATATTATTGTTATGTTTAACATTCATAAAACTACCATAAAAGTTAAATGTATAATTTCATGCTATCATATTTTAAGTAATTTATATTACCATATAACACATTTTACTCAGAAAATTTTACACAAATCCTT